TCGTAGTGTTCTTTCTATTATACGGATCAACACAGACTCAGTCACCCCATAGATATTGCACACCCGGTAACTGTGAGCTCATGGAAAACACTGTAACTAACTGTACAAAAGTCGTGTCTGGAAACTAGCAATTTGAAAATATCTTAATTCATTTATTGTAATTATTTGAGTGTAATTTTGATTTATGTAATGTTTTGTAATACCCGAATTATTAATATAGTATTTCATTTGATTTGTGATATTCATTGAAATTCATTGAAAATAATAAGTAGTTTGTGAGTAATAAGTCCATAAAACGACCGAAAGGTCATTTGGTACTCACTTATCAGGGTCTATATTAGTGCAATACTTTTATCAGCCATACACAGTATAGAGTATTATATTAATATAATATAAAAATTCTTATAAAATGTAATAAAATTTTGGCTAATAATTGCAGTATACATTTGCTGTAGTATTGTTGATAAGTATCTGTTAATAAAATTTAAGATAATCATAGCATTCACATTATATTAAATTAGTTTGTGTCCAAGATACTATTTCATGTAATATCTTTATGCTATGCAATACATCATATGAATCAGCACATACAGTACTACTTTCGTAACATTATTTTAATAGTTCACATTTAATTAGTTATATAACAATTATACAAAATAATTGTAGAATATTATCTTTAATTATATTCTTACATTAGGTGTAAGAATCTATTAAGAATATTTTGTATATACTAATGTTTTGGTAAACAAGGTTATTAATTTTCATTGAGTCAATAACGAGTGCATTAAATGATAAAATATTATTATTGTCAATATTAGGATTGTTTTGTCGGATACCAAACAAACAACAAATTGAAAAAATACATAAATGCCAATTTTAGTAATAATCTATTAATAGAATTTGACTATTAGTTAAATTTTTGTAGTTATATTAGAAAATGTGTTGACAATCTATTATAAAAGTTTTTAATTTTTAGTGATTTATCATAAATATAAAAATAATCTTCAAAATATTATAATAAAATCATATTTTTTACTATTATTGATAATAGTATTTTGCATATAAGGTCATAATTATTCAATTACAAAATCGATTGTTATTTTTATTTGCAGTATATTGCAATAAGAAAATCAAGTATCCAGAATCAATTGTATAGCAAATAATAATTGCTACCACAAACAGAATTGAATTTGCTAGACAATAACATTTTGACTGATATACAGAATTAAATAATTTCAATGTAATCATGAGTTATACAATATATGAGTCACTGATAATAATTGTATTGAATAGAGACTTGAAGTTTGTCTCCTATTATGGATATATTTGTATAAATGAATTGATAAATTCTGTGGACTACAGATTACAATTTTGTTATTGCACTTTGTCAATTGCATAGCAAATAGAAATAAACTTTATATAAATAATTTTATACCCGTGTACTCAATGAAGTGAAAACTAAAGTTAAATATTACCACAAATGCAAAACGAAACATTTAGGCTTAAAGTTTACATATTTATAATTAACAAAATCTACATTAACTGTATAANCTCTCTCTCTCTCTCACTCACTCACTCACTCACTCACTCACTCACTCACTCACTCAATCGCTCATTAAATATAGATGTTTTATATTTTGAAAAATATAAATTAAATAAGTCATTAGAACAATATTTGTACTCAAAATAGCATGTCAATTTATTGTAGAATTCATTTCATAAAGTAAACTTCATTGTGAAATTCGGTATGATTTTAGTTACATAAATTATCAACAATTTTAGATTATTTTGTCTTATTTTCAAAGCTTACACTAAATGTACTAAAAGCTTGTATTTTCTATTTATTAGTTAAATTGAGTTGAGGTAAAAATATTGATAGTAAATATACAAAACATATCATGATATAATTTATTATACATTATGTATATTTAGCCATTTATATTATTAGTAATAATTTATTACTAAAATCTCACAAAGTGGAAAATAAAGTTAGAAAATTCTTTTACACATTGTAGATACAAGCATAATAAAGTATAATAATAATAATGCTTAAAAATTGTTTAAAAATAATTTTGCATGAAATTATAAGAAGAGTTAATTTACCTGAATTACAGCCACATTAATGCACAGAATATTATATAATTAAATGTGTTTTTATTAACTCATTCGTAATAGTAATGACAGTAACTATCATTTATTATTGAAAACTGGTAAATAATTGTCGTACACTACTAGTGCCAACAAACAATATATGAATTTACTATTATGAATAAAAATATCAATACATGAATAGATTTCCCCATAAAAAGTCTTGTTATGAAATTCCTGTTTAAAAATATTATTATGCATTATTTGTAGTTGTTTTCAAAATGATTTCTATTGAATTTCAACATTAGTATACAATGGTATGACATACGAAATATATTACAAATAAAATAAAGTTAAATAAAAACTTGAATATTGTATTTCCTTTCCATATGCATAATTATGGGCAGAAATTCATGTGATTCATTAGATTACAAAATCCTATTGACATTAATTGTTATATAATTTTGCTGTTAATTGTGTTAATATAATATAATAGTGATTCGGGTGATGGAGTCCATGGGAAGTGCCTCGTATATGATGTGAATTGTATTAATAACCTTTGACCGCGTATGTTAAGCTAACTTATCATAGTTAAACTTAAACTGGTATATGAGCAAGTATCAATTTTTGTATTTTAATGCTTTTTTAGTTTTATTGGTTTATTGTAATAAAATAAAGATCAATATAAATTATTGAATGTTAAAAATATATAACAAATGAATAAACATTTATTATAAATAATAAATAAATAGTATAAAAGTTTTTGCAAAATAAATATTGATTTACAGTCAATGAAAATAAATTCAACAATAATATTCAATTCATAAGAATTTTATTTGTGTTTTGTTGACATAGTTTTGTGTAAAAACAGTGTATGAATAAAAAAGTTATAATAAGATACTGAATATTTATCTGACATCTATTATTAATATAAACCAACGAAATATTATTATAAAAAAATACTAATTATTCAAAAAGCAAATCTTAATTCAAAGCATTATGACAAACAATTTTAAATGCAATATTTAATGTAGCAAAACAAATATTACATTAGTGTTATAAAACTGTAATTAAAATTGTAATCACAAATCATCATTTGAGTTTATTTTAGCCAAAGTTAATAAGTTTTTATAAGTGTCTTACATTATATAATTTATCATACTACAATTCCAAGTTTTTATACATTACAGTAATTTACTTTTTGTTTTAAAGGCCTTGAAGTTATTTACGATTCATTGTGATTATAATGAAACTAAATGACAAAGTACTTTACATTGTATAATGCTTTTTTGAAAATGTTATTTTTAAATAATATTTTGGTGTTTGCAATGAATATCATGTTTTGAATCTAATGTTTCACACATTCTGGTGAATTGATTGTAAACATACGTTAAAAGTGTTGTGAAAAATAATTTTTAGTTAATTTAGTTTCATTTCCAAATGTAACAGCTACAGTAAAATAAATATACCGGTGCTGCCCCAGTAGGTTATGCGATTTATGTGCACATAAATGGGGGGAAAATATTCATTTATTGTTTAATCGATAACAAAAATCTATTGAAAAAACTTTTTGTTTTTGTAAAAGTCTAGCGATTTAGTGTATCAATAGTACAAAACTCCGTATAAATGTATTCAAGTGAACCGGTATTTCAAGTATTACTTCTACGCTTAAGTATTAATTACTGACACAAATGTATGGCAAACTTACGATTGACTCCCATTCCTCCCAGTGCTCTCACTTTTTACTTACAGCCTTACATAACGCATACAAAACCTATTGTTACTCTGAGACCAATGGTTACAAAAACATTTACTAAACTTATATAAACTTATATAATATTCCTTAAATTTTTCTTATAGTTTTGACAACTATTTAATAATAAGCAATGGTTGTCATTACCACTACCACCACCACCTTTGAAACAGCCGGTGATCATCAAGTGATACCCATGTCGTCCAGACATACCATTCCCGCCACCGATGATGATAGGCTGAAGTTTTACTGGAATGGACTGACATATAAAACGAGTGATAATAAGAAACTCATCTCAAGAAACAAAACTAATGTCAAGACTATTATCAATGACTTGAACGGAGAGATAACGAGCGGACAGTTGACCGGAATATTAGGGCCGAGCGGGTCCGGCAAGACTACACTCATTGAATGTCTGGCTGGTAGACGAGTGGCCGGACTCAGTGGTCGGGTATGGGTTAAGTCATCCAACGATAAGTGAGTTTCAATTAAAAAATTATTTGCAATTAAAATGTATAGATAAGTGAAAAGAGTTCATAGTTTGTATGCTTTTGATTACTTGAGGATATTTAATGTAAATTATATGATTGAAACCAATGGTAAAAAGTTTGTATAATTATATTGACAAACATTTTCCCTAAACTTATTTTTTATGAAAATTGTCTGTATTTGTTACTAGGCGCATGCATATTTTACCTGTACGCCGAGACTTGCGTAACATACCTGTGCCAATGCTAGCACCGACATGTGTTTATGAACCCAAATAAACCCCATAATCCAAATACAATTTATTACATAATATTTAAGTATATTAAATGACAGATTGCATTGGCTTTCAATATTTGAGTGAAAGTTTGTATCAAATATTATATGATGTTTTTTGCTGTATTTTTTCTCATCTAAATTACTGTTTAATTATTCATGTATTCAATGATTGATTGATTGGTATTTGAATTCACATTTAATGATATAAATGAGGGAAATATTTATCTTAAAAAACAAAATTTACCTAAAATGTTAATAATACAGTTAACACCAGGTATAAGATATTAAGTACTATTGTTAATAACGTAATATTAATTTTAGATAATTGATAATTATTGACCAACAAGCAATACTCTGTAATTAAATTTTAAAGTTTATAATATTATTTGCTGAATTACTAAAGAAAATTAATTCATACAAATATTATGATAGAAAATAACAACAAGTACAAATAAATGTTAATAAAAATTTTAAAATATTAATATTCTTAGTTTAATAACATATTTATATATTATAATTAATTTGTATATGAATTAAATACACAGAAAAACCAAACTACGGATCGCATACAATGGACAGACGGATGCACTTTTAGACGAGCTAACGGTGCGAGAAGCCCTCAAATATGCCTCTGAACTCNTAATGAGAAGGTGTGCACTGAACCGCCACCCGTCCCATACCTGACCGGTTATCCACCACATGATTGTGGAGAACATTATGGTTAATATCAATACGATTGGTATGTCTACGAGGGAACGGGCCGTGAAGTATGACCAACACGTATACCATTTGTTGAAATGCTCCTGGGAAGTTAAAATTATTAATTAACACTAATTAATGATTATGAATGTAAAACAATATACTCCCAAATACCTTGACAAATATGTTCAACTCGACGGTGAATGTCATGAGTGTGGGCCCGATATTGACGGCATGAATGAACAAAATATTGCTCAAAATATATGAGGAATTTTGTTGCAAAGCCCGGAACCTCTCAGTGCCCTCTCTGTTGCCAAATTCACTCAAACGGGCCAACACTGACTCCCTGTCCGCGCACTCACCCCCACCCAACTGTCCCACTTTGACGTCCGAGTACATCATTAGCTTAGTGAACAGGGATATGATCATGAATAGAAATCGTAACCATATTACATGGGGATTACGTATAGACACCAATTGAGCCCGTTTTGTTAGTACCCATATATCCCGGAGCTGGTCATTCAAGGATTGTTTTGAATCGGTTTTAGCGTTAATTTTAGTGTCACTCCTGTTGTCAACAATGGACTCGTTTTTCGCGATTCTTATGGACTCTAACTTAGTGTTTAGTGTTTGTCTCTCATGTGATGCCAAGGTATCGATTGCCTGTAAATGAGTTGTAAAAATTAATTATTATAAAATGTAGGTTCCTAGGTAATATTAATGCTTTTACATCCGGCCCTTGTACACCACAAGATATTTCCATAACGTAATCTGCCGGATTGTGAAATACCTGGGTTAAAATAAACAATCTATAGTTACCATAAAATAAATCAGTTACTTTTCCCAATAGTTTAAAATTTTAATAATTTTATTTTGTTATTATATTTAAGGTATAAGTTACAATACTAAAATAACAGTATATGACGGTACTTTTGTGAAGTATTTCCACGAATAACAATAATTCAATAAAGTTTCAAGGATTTAGTTAACAATATAAAACAAAAAAGTTAATAAATAAATAAATATTAAAAATATATTATCCAGCTAAAGAATAACTTATATTGTATCACAAAAATGTATATAACAGTGTCATTTATATTAAATTAGTTTTCTAAAAATTTAATTGTATATAATTCATGCATACTAATAAATATTTATTAATAATTAAATTAAGTTATAACGTAATTGTATAAAATAGTGTTAGGTTGATATCATATCAATGATATGTATGTAAATCAAATGCAAAACCCTTAATAATTATTTATATTATATAAATAAAAAATGAGCAATTAAATGCAATTACAAATCATAATCATTATTAGTAATTTAAAAAATATGATTAAATTAATAATTTATTATAAACATTAAAAACTAAAATATTTTTCGGTAGATGGTAAGCTAAACAGTTTAAAAGTTTTAACAATTTTAACTTGATACTTTATAACCAAGTAAAAATGTTAAAAATTAAATATACTAATTAATCATTTTATAATTACTGGTACAAAACTAAACGAATAAAATTTTTAAAAAATTTATTTAAAATATTTTGAATTATACATGATACACTATTTATAAAATGATAAATAATTTGAAAATAAATTATCATTTTAAATAATTCGTTGACATATTTTATGCTTATTTAATGCTAGCCCTCCATTTGAGTGCATAGTATGCCAACCATCTAAGAATGACCGTATATGCGATGAATAGACTGATATAGATGTAGAGATCCGTGTCCTGTAGGCCGAACCACTCCAATATCCGCGAGGGGTTCTGTTTAGCCACCAATCGGTTAATAGCGGACAGGCTATTACGGGTCACATTCGCCAGACTGTCCGCCTCTTCCAGACACTCCTCCATGTGATACATATTGACCCCAAACTCATGAGTTAGTGAATCCATGGTTAGGGGGTCATTAAGAGTGGGACATCGGTTAAAGCCATACAGTATTATTAACATTGATTCGTATGATAACCTGTGGTTCGTTATGAAAATAACATTATTTAATAATTCTTAATTTAAAACTAGTGTTATAATTTATAAGGTTAGGGTTATTGATAGTACCGGTAGTTTTAGAGTATTCACATATCAAAAATATCAAAAATATCAAAACTGTAACTAAGTAATTAGTAAAAAAAATATGAAGTAAATAAGATTTTGAATGATTATCATAATGGAAACTACCATGATGTTAAATATTATTAATATTTTTATAATTTGCAAATTATCTTGATAAACAAAGCCTCAATTGTAAAACTTTCAATTTAATGTAATATAAAATTCTATAATTATAATCCCAATCCATGATAAATTTTATTTTATGAGATTACCTGAAAATAGACAAATAGGAGAAAGTCTGCAAATATGAGGGCAGTGTCCGGATGGGTATGAGTGCACCACTGAATAGCAGTAGTGGTGTAACGAATATAGTGAACGACAGTAGACTGGCCCGGATGTTGTTGATGAATATTGCTGACAATAGCAGTCCCAGGCTATGAGATACTAGTGCCAGGAGCACCATAATCAGAAGGTGTACACTGAAACGCCATCCGTCCCACACCTGGTCGGTCATCCACCACATGATTGTGCCGTACACTATCGGTATGACCACAACCACCGGTATGTCTACGAGTGAACGGGCCGTGAAGTATGACCAACAAGTGTACCATTTGTTGAAATGTTCCTGAGGATATATTTCAATAAAATTATATCGTACTCTTACTTATGTAAAATAGTGAAATTATAAAATCAATTATAATACATAGTATCAATTTCTAATATTATTAAATAAATATAATGTGAATACCTTGACAAATGTGTTCAACTCAATAGGAAAGGTCATGAGTGTGGGTGCGATAGTGACAAAGTGTATGAACATAGTTGTGGTGATAATATATGAGATATTCTGTACATTCTTGAAACTCTTATGAATTGTACTCTCTTTCACAGCAATTGTCCTCAACTTAGACAACACGGACATCATGTCAGTACAGCCCCCGTCCGACTGACCCGCATGGGTACGGGAGTACACTAACAGCTTAGTGGACAGGGCTATGGCCAGACCTAAAATCCGTAGCCATACAATCAAGGGATTCCGCATAGATGTCACGTGCGCCCGTTTAAGTAATATCCATACATCCCGGAGCTGGTCATTAACAGTACGTTTGGACTCATTTTTACTCTTATTTTTGGTGCAGTTTTTGGGGCCAACAATAGACTCGTGTTTCGCGATTCTCATGGACTCTAACTTAGGGTTTAGTCTCTGTCTCTCGTATGTCACTAACGTATCGATTGCCTGTAAATGTATAATAAGAGATAATTATGAATAATATAATATTATTATAAAGTAAATCTTAATTATTTTACATCAGGTCCATGTCCACCACTAGATATTTCCATTACAAAATCAGCCGGATTATGAAATACCTGTCAAGAAATGTAATATAAAGTGTTAACACTGACTAAATAATTAAGTTCTTTTAAATGAAGTATAAAATTAACATAACAATACTTTAATTTATTTTAGTTATTAATTAATTTCCAAAATAGAAATTGTCGATTTATATAAATTATAATAAGTACTGATCGCCAAAATAAAATAAATTCTTAAGATAATTAGTAAATATAAATTTTAATAAATCTGAATATAGTTAATAATTATTGAAATATATTTAAGAATACACGGAAATAATTACCGGACAATTTAAGTCAAAGTTAGACAAATGAGTGATTAATCGATCGGTGGGTCCACTATATATACACCGGCCGTCCACTGACAGCACGTATATAGAGTCAAAAAAGGCCAGTAGTCGGGCAGTTGGCTGGTGTATGGACACCGCTATAACTAACGGCTCCTTATTATACGACAATGTCTTCAAAAGGGACAGACACTGGAAACTGGAGGCCGAGTCCAGGCCAGTGGTCGGTTCGTCCAGTAGTAGTATATTCGGTGAGAATATCAACTCCAATGCAATGGACAGCCGTTTTTTCTGACCACCACTGATGGCACCCGTCTTAACCTGAGCACAGCCTAACAGTCCAAACACCTCAAGCATGTTATGGGCATTGAGGTCATGGGATCGGGATTTCTTGTCAGAGGCTAATGGTTCCCTTTGTTCATTGAGTTCATAATTGTCACCACCCATATGGTGTTTACCGTTGCCATTATTGTGGGAACGGTAGTTCTCGTGGTTGACATCGAAAAAGTCATATCGTTTTGTAGCCTTTTTCTTGAGTTCAGAGGCATATTTGAGGGCTTCTCGCACCGTTAGCTCGTCTAAAAGTGCATCCGTCTGTCCATTGTATGCGATCCGTAGTTTGGTTTTTCTGTGTATTTAATTCATATACAAATTAATTATANAACCACCGGTATGTCTACGAGTGAACGGGCCGTGAAGTATGACCAACAAGTGTACCATTTGTTGAAATGTTCCTGAGGATATATTTCAATAAAATTATATCGTACTCTTACTTATGTAAAATAGTGAAATTATAAAATCAATTATAATACATAGTATCAATTTCTAATATTATTAAATAAATATAATGTGAATACCTTGACAAATGTGTTCAACTCAATAGGAAAGGTCATGAGTGTGGGTGCGATAGTGACAAAGTGTATGAACATAGTTGTGGTGATAATATATGAGATATTCTGTACATTCTTGAAACTCTTATGAATTGTACTCTCTTTCACAGCAATTGTCCTCAACTTAGACAACACGGACATCATGTCAGTACAGCCCCCGTCCGACTGACCCGCATGGGTACGGGAGTACACTAACAGCTTAGTGGACAGGGCTATGGCCAGACCTAAAATCCGTAGCCATACAATCAAGGGATTCCGCATAGATGTCACGTGCGCCCGTTTAAGTAATATCCATACATCCCGGAGCTGGTCATTAACAGTACGTTTGGACTCATTTTTACTCTTATTTTTGGTGCAGTTTTTGGGGCCAACAATAGACTCGTGTTTCGCGATTCTCATGGACTCTAACTTAGGGTTTAGTCTCTGTCTCTCGTATGTCACTAACGTATCAATTGCCTGTAAATGTATAATAAGAGATAATTATGAATAATATAATATTATTATAAAGTAAATCTTAATTATTTTACATCAGGTCCATGTCCACCACTAGATATTTCCATTACAAAATCAGCCGGATTATGAAATACCTGTCAAGAAATGTAATATAAAGTGTTAACACTGACTAAATAATTAAGTTCTTTTAAATGAAGTATAAAATTAACATAAAAATACTTTAATTTATTTTAGTTATTAATTAATTTCCAAAATAGAAATTGTCGATTTATATAAATTATAATAAGTACTGATCGCCAAAATAAAATAAATTCTTAAGATAATTAGTAAATATAAATTTTAATAAATCTGAATATAGTTAATAATTATTGAAATATATTTAAGAATACACGGAAATAATTACCGGACAATTTAAGTCAAAGTTAGACAAATGAGTGATTAATCGATCGGTGGGTCCACTATATATACACCGGCCGTCCACTGACAGCACGTATATAGAGTCAAAAAAGGCCAGTAGTCGGGCAGTTGGCTGGTGTATGGACACCGCTATAACTAACGGCTCCTTATTATACGACAATGTCTTCAAAAGGGACAGACACTGGAAACTGGAGGCCGAGTCCAGGCCAGTGGTCGGTTCGTCCAGTAGTAGTATATTCGGTGAGAATATCAACTCCAATGCAATGGACAGCCGTTTTTTCTGACCACCACTGATGGCACCCGTCTTAACCTGAGCACAGCCTAACAGTCCAAACACCTCAAGCATGTTATGGGCATTGAGGTCATGGGATCGGGATTTCTTGTCAGAGGCTAATGGTTCCCTTTGTTCATTGAGTTCATAATTGTCACCACCCATATGGTGTTTACCGTTGCCATTATTGTGGGAACGGTAGTTCTCGTGGTTGACATCGAAAAAGTCATATCGTTTTGTAGCCTTTTTCTTGAGTTCAGAGGCATATTTGAGGGCTTCTCGCACCGTTAGCTCGTCTAAAAGTGCATCCGTCTGTCCATTGTATGCGATCCGTAGTTTGGTTTTTCTGTGTATTTAATTCATATACAAATTAATTATATAAATATGTTATTAAACTAAGAATATTAATATTTTAAAATTTTTATTAACATTTATTTGTACTTGTTGTTATTTTCTATCATAATATATGAATGAATTAATTTTCTTTAGTAATTCAGTAAATAATATTATAAACTTTAAAATTTAATTACTGAATATGTTTTGTTGGTCAAAATTAATTATAACAAATATTACGTTATTAACAATAGTACTTAATATCTTATACCTGGTGTTAAATGTATTATTAACTTTTTAGATAAATTTTGTTTTTTAAGCTAAATATTTCTCTCATTTATATCATTAAATGTTAATTCAAATACCAATCAATCAATCATTGAATACATGAATAATTAAACAGTAATTCTGATGAGAAAAATACAGCAAAAAACATTATATAATACAGTATTTGAGACAAACTTTCACTTAAATATTGAAAGCCAATGCAATCTGTCATTTAAAACACACAGTCATTTAATATACTTAAATATTATGTAATAAATTGTATTTGGATTACGGGGTTTATTTGGGTTCATAAACATATGTCGGTACTCGCATTGGCACAGGTATGTTACGCAAGTCTCGACGTACAGGTAAAATATGCATGCGCCTAGTAACAAATACAGACAATTTTCAAAAAAAATAAGTTTAGGGAAAATGTTAGTCAATATAATTATACAAACATTTTACCATTGGTTTCAATCATATAATTTACATTAAATATCCTCAAGTAATAAAAAGCATACAAACTATGAACTCTTTTCACTTATCTATACATTTTAATTGCAAATAATTTTTTAATTCAAACTCACTTATCATTGGTTGACTTAACCCATACCCGGCCACTGAGTCCGGCCACTCGTCTACCGGCCAGGCATTCAATGAGTGTAGTCTTGCCGGACCCGCTCGGCCGATTATAAGGCCAGTTGACAGGCGAGCAATAGAGAGGCAAGTTCAGTAACTATTATCAGAACTGTAATCAAAACAAAGAACTCTACTCAATCTTATTATCACTCGTTTTATACGTCAATCCATTCCAGTAAAACTTCAGCCTATCATCATCGGTGGCGGGAATGGTATGTCTGGACGACATGGGTATCACTTGATGATCACCGGCTGTTTCAAAGCTGGTGGTGGTAGTGGTAATGACAACCATTTCTTATTATTAAATAGTTCTCAAAACTATAAGAAAAATTTAAGGAATATTTATAAGTTTAGTAAATGTTTTTGTAACCATTGGTCTCAGAGTAACAATAGGTTTTGTATGCGTTATGTAAGGCTGAAAGTAAAAAGTGAGAGCACTGGGAGGAATGGGAGTCAATCGTAAGTTTGCCATACATTTGTGTCAGTAATTAATACTTAAGCGTAGAAGTAATACTTGAAATACCGGTTCACTTGAATACATTTATA